CGCGCATTGAACCGCATTGAAACGGTTTTCAATGCATTTCAATGGGTTTTTAAATTTCGCTTGACAAGGATTTCGCTTAACAGCGATTTGAACGGAACGAATTATCCTCATCAAGCGAGGCACCACTGTATTTCTTTGAAGCTGAAATTAAATTACATGCTTAAATAAAAGTAAATTGTTTAACATGTCTTTCCTCTTGTGTTGATAGTACACCATGCTTCAATATTCTTTAAGTCTCTGTACAGACAATAGAGTTTGTGAACTATAACTTCTGGATGACTGGTCTCAGTATTCCCCCTTCAATGTTTCTCCTCTCAATGTTTCCTTGGTACTATATTAGGAAAATTCCTGTGGAGCTAGATTTTTATTTGTATGCCAGTAAAACGTCACCCAGAATTAGAGGATGCCAGGGACATGGAGAATGTATTGGAAATGGAAATGGGTCAGGAAACAGGTAAAGTAAGATTAGCTGGTGCACATCAAACAGGAAAGCTTAGATGGATGAGACAGAAGCATGAAGGAGAAAGGAATTGAAGAAGGTTGTGGGAGTAGCGGGAAGCAATAGAATGCTAGTAGCATATAAAGAGTGAACAGCTGAGTAGGCTCTAGAATCTGGAATCTGTGAACCTGGGAGCTAAAAAGGCAGTATGTGATCACTAAATGAAATAAAATATGTGACTAACATCCTTTTGCTAACATTTAGTATCTTAACAATTTTTACATGAAGATGGAAATACATTTGGTGAATGTGTGGCAATTTCTGACATCCAAAAATGAAGAAGACTGCATGTTACCATTTAATTGGGTGTATTTTAAAATCTTAGAGACTGAAAGTCGTAGCTGGTATGGACTTTTTGTTTCCTGCTTCTACTGTCATATGTACTACAACCTTACTGTAAAATAAAAACTAATAATAGCCATTGAAAGGTTCATCTCACAGAAGTGCTTCTGGTTGAATACGAGACATGTAAAGGTTCTGCTGTTACCACCATTCTTCTACACCTTATTTCATTTTGATATCCAAGCAAATGTGTGGGGTCTGAAAACTGGGCTTCCTGAATTTGTATCCAGATCCCAGAGTGATGAACAGACGCCTTTGATTTAATCTTTGGCAAATTTAGACTGATAGACCTCTTAGATGTATAATTGCTCCCAAGTAATTCTGTTCACTGTTTATTTGTAACTTGCCTTCTAAAGGAGTGATATAAATGCCCAAATAACGTGCACTGTCTGTAGCTTCATGTCTTGCTATCACACACATAGAGAAAGCTATATTTTGATGGGATTGTTTGGCACAATCTACTATGTATGGACCATTGATTCTGGTAATGGAAGCCTCAGTTTATGAATTGATATTACAGTATTGTCTATGCAACCTTTGTTTGAGCAAACTTACTAAAATATTATTGATGAGTGCACTTACAGTTGGCATCTGTTTTGGGGTTGAAGGGATCATATTGCACATCAGGTATCAGAGTGGTTTTCCTGGCAAGAAAACATGGATGGTTTCGTAGTTTTAATCTCCTGCCTGAGAGAAAGTAATTGTCTTGTGGGGAAATCTGTTGTTGTGAGCATGACAATTTGAGCTACACAAAGAAACGCTCAATGTTTCACTCTTTTTGAATGTCACTGTGAAATAATTGCCTCTTTCCCCCCATCGCTTAACTCTTGAAGTAATCTGATCCTACCTGATGCCATGTCAAATAAAAAAGTAAGATAAATGCAGGAGACCATGTATAAGTTGGTAAAAGCTTTACTTTTTCCCTTTTGTTGCTTCAGAAAAAAACCTATCCTCATTCATGCTCAGTTCTCTCTCTATTGATTGGCAGTGCAGTTTTCTAAGGACAGATGCCCTTTTCTGTCTTTAAAAGAAAGGTGGAGGTTATCACCATTGTTGGGCATTAAATATGTTGGGTGCTTTGTATTTGATGCATTTTGTAGACTAGAGGGAATTTTAATGGCTGGGCATCCTTCTGTTTACCCTGTCTGGGGCTGAAACTAGGCTGGAAACCATGCCCCCCTCTTTTTGAGAATTCAAAGACACAGCTCGTGAGATTCAGCAGAAAAGGATTAAGCCCCCACAGTGCAGTCCTTTTGGTTTGAACCCAGCCTAGTCCAGCGGAGGGGGCACCCAGCTTCATTGTCTTATTGTTTTGATAGACAAAATGCTTCAGCCAGCTCTTCTTCTGGCCCCCAAACTCAGAGCCACATTGGTGAGATGGGAAGGAAAAATAAAAAGAAAAGTTTGAGACAAAGACTGCACTATTCAGCCTCCTGAATGATGAGGTAGTCTCTGATTTGATAGTTGTAGATTTTGTTTACAAATAGTGTTTCTGCTTTCTTAGCCTATGTGGGCTGTTTCCATACCAAACTACTAGGAAAACATTACTGCTGTCCTCTGTGCTGGGAACAATATTCCCAGGTTTATTGATCAAGCCGTCTCAGTTTCCTGCACAATAGAAACCTGATTGTATCCCTGCCCCCATGACTGCATAGCTGGATTCTGCAGTCTGTGTGAGAGGCTTTCTGGTGAATGTGGGCTATATAAACTAACTTCATAGTGGCTGCTTCCAGTATGAGATCTGCAGAATTCTGCCCACAAGACCAGAAAATGCCTCTGTTGTTGTTTCATAGTCTTTGCCTTTGTTCTTCCTGTTTTGCAAGAGGTCAAGTGACTTTGATGCTAAGCTCAATGTCTAGTTCATTGTTGGTAATTATTTGTAATGGTGCTGGTGGTTAGAGTTATCTAGCCTTGCTCCAATCTATGACTGCTGGTGAAGTCTCTCTCCTAGCGGAGACTGCCTATAAGCATAAATTGATTTTTGTGTTAGGGATGAGTCTTGGCATATTTCCTAATTCCATGAGATATTGGCTGAGGGCTGTTGGACTCGAAACAGCAGACCTCTTTCTTTCACCCTGTGGCTGGCTCTTAACAAAACAAGTAAAAACATTTTGTGTGGCAGTATTTCTGAACTGCTATTTGTTGTAGGCAAATTCATGTTTAGACTGTTTGCAAATCTGAAAGAAATCCTTGGAATTCCCATGCTCTTGCCTGTGAATGCGTAGGGCTGGTTTTTTTTTGTTTTTTAACCTCCGAGTGTTAGAACAACTTACGTTCACAGCTTAATGCAGCAGTGGACATCTTTCTGTTTAGAATGGCAGCCTTCGAAGAGAATCTGCGGTCACACAGCCCTTTACCATACATGCACATACGTACACTCACACACTTATCCAATGTCCTAGTTAAACTCTTCATTTGCAGAAATATTCAGTGCATGAAATACAGTCCCTCAGCATGGGTGTTCCTTTTATGGCTGCAAACAGCTTTCCTGCCTCCATAGGAAGATCCTGAAGAGAATTCCCCGCCCCTCCCACATGATGATGTGGTTCCCCCTTTCTCCGCCTTCTGACAGAAGAGAACAAGTAACAGCTTTTTCCCAGCCTGACCTATCAGAGGAGTGATGTGATGGCTGACGTGTCATGCTTACTGAGAGATGGGAGTTGAAGTCCCAGCCTTTTCCCATTTATTGCAGTGCATGCTAGTAATAATTGATCCTTCCACAGAAATTTGTATTGGTTGGGAGACAACTGGAAGAATACGCCAGGGTCAGGGACAGAATTAAAATACAGCATCTGTTTGCTCTCCCCCTCCCTCCCCGGTTATATCCTATACCTCATCCTTATAAATTGTTAGCCTGTGAAGGAGGAGAAATTTCTGAATGGCTGTTCGAACAGGATGGGCAGCAGCTGTTCCCAATTCTGTGCAGTCGGGATGAACAAACTGGTTGTTAGTATATACAGTAGGGCAAAAGAATTGCTGGCTTGTGGTGAGGCAAGGTGGATGGGCTAACCAGTGTGCCTGCTACGGGTAGCAACTCTTGCTGGTGAGATTTCTGCACCTACCTTGATCCACAAACTCCTGCTCTCCAGCCTACACACAAGTTTTCAGAGTACTGTTCTCACAAAGCTGTTCCCAAAAGAAAGAAGCTCCCTGCCTAGTCTTGGATGGGCCTCTGACCTCTGTAGAGAGAGACCATCTAAAGACTACTCACTTCATGCCTCATTCTTTTTTCCCCCTAGCTGGCTTCTGCTTTCATTTAACAGTCTGTGTATAGTTTGTAGGTAAGAGTAAACAATGCATTGGACATGAATGATCCATGTTTACTTAAGTCACTGCTTTTTATGTTAAATACATAAAAGTAAGGGGCATTCTTTCTCACAGATGCTTCTGTGTATTTTTCCAAGTAATGGTTTACATGTGTGTTGCAGTGAAGACTAATATGAGACACATGTATGTTGTGCTTTTATTCCAGAGTGCAAAACATTAGTGGCAGCATAGTGTTTGATGTCTTATTTCATCTTTCAGTTTCCAATGTTCTGGCCTTGTCTGTAGATTCTTCCACGAGCTCCTTAGATTTACCCCTGTTGTGTCCCTTTTATGTTACCCTTATCTCAAATGCGTGAGAAGAATTGGGGAGAGGAGCAACAGTCTCCTGTATGTCTATGAAGCTCAGTGACAACAGGGTTGTCATGAGGATAGTTCTTATATCATACATTGTAGAATGAACACATTCTTTCTGTGCTGCTGCTTACTCATTTTTCCATTGCCTGCTGTGGGATTGTCTGCCTCCCTGGCCCAGCCGTTCCATGCATGACCCTCCCTTACTTCTTTTCTCCACCCACCCCCCTCCCATCAGCTCTGAGCACTGCCTCCCCAACTGGCAGGTTTGCCCATGTGACTATTTCTTGTAAGACAGGCCTACAGGCCTTTTGCCTGTGCACTGCAGTCTCTCTGGCAAATCACTGCATATGAACCAGGTAGCTATGTTTGAGAGGAGATTTTGAAAAAATAACAGAGACAACATTTCTCGTGTGAAGTTACCAATTTCCTTTTAGCTTTCACTTTTTTTTCCAGTTCTATGATGGTTTGCAGGATAAACCATTTGTCGGAGGGATAAGCAAAAATGCAATGCATTGTTTCCTTTTTTTCCCCTTGGCAGGTTTCCCCATGTCCGTGACGTGTTGGCCGAGGCTCTGCGGCTGCTCCCCGCCCTTGGAGCTGCCAGTCGCTACCCTTTGGACTCCGTGATCCCTGACAAACGTCATGAGCATTGCAATCCCTCTGGGAGTCACTACACCAGATACATCTTATTCAGATATGGCTGCTGGATCTGAGTAAGTGCTGCCTAGCTGGCTAATTGTGGTGGGCATGGACTCAGACCTTGACTATCCCGGTGAACCTAGGACAGGTAGTTGGTAGGTAGTTTTGCCAGAGGTAAATCAGAAATCTCTGTGACTGAATGTGTACATTTTAGATCAAGATAGAATGCCAGAGAGAAACTCTACCCACTTCCCCTGCAACTGCATCCAAGACAAAGCACTTTGATTTAGAATACTACTTTCCCAAAGATCTTTAATTCACATCTGTTGTGTCCTACCTTGGTTGATAGGTGACTCGCAAGATATGAGCCCTGACAGTACTCTTCTTTTCCTCTCCTGTAGCCTAAGTTGCATGGTGCTGCTGATACAGATGGCTGTGTGATGTGGGTAAGGAGGATCTTTCAGGCATCAGGCCTCTTGCCTATCTCAAACTGTTATGTGGATTTTTACCCCTCTTAGTCTAGCTGTGTTTCCCTGAAAGAGGTTTAATGAGCAAGTAACTTGCAGGGAACTTTCTTTTCTAGAGACACCATAATCCATAGTGCAAAAATATCAAAAGCAGTGTCCGCAGGAAGGAAGATGCCCAGAGCCAAATTGCTTATTGAGCGTAGGCATGGAAGTTGTTGATGTTGTTTTATAGTCTTGGTCTTATCCTGAGCAGTTTCCCCAGCAATGGTAAACTGTGCCTTAGAAAGCCAGGCAAGGTATTTGAGCCACTTGCTTTACAGTTTGTATTTAAAAGGAACTAATTCCTATACATTTCTGGAATCCATTTGCTGGGCTTTTATAAGGCTCTGGTGTATAAGAGACATACTATTTGCTTCCCACTTTTGGAATATCTAGATTCAAGGTGCAGGATATTGCTTCTGGTTTTGTTTTCTAGTAGGAACACCCTAAACTCTGTTGAAACATATGTCCTTATCCAGTGAAGGATCATGCCTTTGCAGCTAGAGTCTGCTCAGTAAGAGAAGTTCCTGTGGAGTCCTTTACACTTTGTTCTGTCTGTATGCTAGATTTGTCCCAGATACACATCTTTTATCACAACTTATTCCAGTCACACCTTGTTTTGATAAATGTTTACTTTGTATTTCATTGTACTTGGTGGTGTTTTATTGTGGGCTGCCCAGGAGCCTTCAGGGCCACATTCCATGGTACTGTTAGGTTACTGTGGCTTTGCATTTTGTCATCTGGCATGAGAAAACCTGAGAAGGCTGTTGCTGTTACATCTGTCCTTGCCCTTCGTGGGAGCGTGGGGATGCAAGCAGCTGAGGCTATCAGCGATAGCGGTGGTAATACTGTTTTGTAGTATTAGACTTCATTTATCTGAAGTGTCAGCCAGTTTGTGTTTATCATGCTATCATGATTTGCCAGCTTTTCACAATTGAAAAAAGCCACACTTTGAAGAGAATCTCTGTTTATGACATACTTTTCAAGACTAAGCTGAAGGTGAAATGAAGGTGCAGACTAAGATAATAAGAAAGTGTAATTATCAAGTGGGTGGGTGGGAGGGATAGTTTGAGTCAGTAGAAAGTCAGGAAAGGATTAGAGATGTTCAAGACCAAGCTCATGTAAGTAGAACAGTACCTGGTTTTATGAATCCCCCCTGGGGGATGGGATTTTGAGTAAGAAGGTAATATTTTACCAAATCCTTTTGTTTGTGTCTGTAATCTTTAGAAGTTGGCTGCAGTTACAACAGACATTTACTGGACCATAATCTCAGTGTGTGCTTGCATTGGTGGCTCCTCCTCCTCCTCGTCATTTTCCCTCTTGCTTCCTTCAAAAAGAGCAATTTCTCCTTCTGTCATTGAGGTTTTGACTGCACCACCTAAAGCTTTTCCTATTTCCTTTTCTTTAACGGGACTCCCACAGCTTTTTACTAATTGCCCGTTTTGTGTCATATTTTTGAGCTGATTTTTTTCTGCCACCTTGTGGTGGAAAATTGCAGTTTCATCTTCACCATGTAATCCTGTAAGAAAGAAATCCTGCATATTTTGGCTCACTCAGAGTTTCTGCCAATCCAGGTCATAGATACTTCTGCAGCTCTTCAGTAGCATGAAGTATGTATAGACTATCCTTGCCAAATTCACCCAAGAGCATCTGTCATGTAAAATTTGTCTCTGTTTTCAGTAATACACAGTAGTTAAAGAAGCAGGAAATATCTATTGTGGCTTGGACATTTTTTTTCTACAAAGATTGGGGGGGGCAGGGAGCTTCCAAAATAGTTTAAAGACCAGCTCTGGTAGCAATTCCCCCTCTCCCCCCATCTATTGCTGAACCAAGCTTTCTTATAACACTCCTCATCCAGGGTGCCCCATTTGGAGGGCAATGGCCACTCTTCTGTATTGCTGAACCAAGCTTGCTTAACACTCCTCATCCAGGGTGTCCCATTTGGAGGGCAATGGCCACTCTTCCGCTTTTTCTCCTTGCTTTCACAAGCTGGCTATTATAGATTTTATATGTCATTTAGTGCCCGTCTCCCACATGTCCATTCATGGCTGGATATATGTATAATCTGAGGGGGGGGGGAAAACAGATCTGGCTGTTTATTTGAAGAGAACCATTCTGGTCACTCACTGGTCCTGCTCTTGGCCCTTTCTGCAGCCCTGAGTCTGTGGAAGCTAGCCCAGCTGTTGGTGAGAAGAATGTGTATGCGAGTCATGGCTACGGGGCCTCCCAGAAACACAATTACCGAGGGCTGCCTTATGCAGTGAGTACCACCTCTGTTGTCTGCAGCAAGTTTCTATTTTACCCATTCTTTTTTTCTCCTCTCCCCGGCTTGTGCATGACTGAGCTTCATATCTTCTTAGAACACTATTGTATTACCAAGAAAACACTGAATTTCTATTTAAGTGTGTGTGCACGTTAACAGAAAACTTATCTGAAAACGAATTCTAGGACTAGAAGAAGGTAAGGAGGCATTGTGTGGCCGGTCCTGGTCCAGTACAATTTCTTTCAGCAACTTATTTTTCCAACAAAGATTTCTGTGAGACGTGTATTATAAGCCTCAATATTTTGAAGGTGAAAATGGGATTCAGAATGGGAGGTTGTATGACTTCACATGCTTCCTGTGTTGAATTTGGCAAAATGTTTGTTCTTGTTGACACTTCTGCTTTGCAGAAAACAAGTTAAGATTGTAGCAATACGTTGCAGTGCGGTGGCTTGAGTAAAATTTCTAACTACTGTATCCCATTTTGCCCTTTCCCACCCCTTTTCTACCCCTGTTCCAATTGTCAGTCTTTCTGTTAGCGATCTGTGCCAACCAAAATTTTTCACCCCCACCACCCTACTGGACACTATTTAAATAATTACACCCTTATTTAAGTTTCTTTCTCACATTTTTTGTACTTGAATAAACCTTGGGTTTCAATCAAATCTGCTTATTCTTTTCTCACATAGATGGTCATTTTTTGCCCTCAGAAAGATTGAACTCAGAAGTTCACTGCTGGTATACAGGAAATGTTTAGTTGGAACATTTTCTTAAACTGCTAATGCATTGCCATTATTTCTTAAAAGAAAATAAAGTAAGACATTTGTTTGTGAGTAACATGCTACTGACATATTAATTTATTTTAATTTATTTTTTAAATTACAAAAGAGAAAAGTGACACAGAGTTACTGAAGCCCCTAACACCTGCAAATAAAGAGTAAATATTTTATAAGTGTTCTGCATTATTTTGCTAAACAAAGATTATTATGTCCTCGTTATTCTGAAAAATAATTTGTTACAACTTGTTATTTGCAATGTATTACTTTAAAGCTCTGGATATTTTGGAAGAGAATAAAACTAAAGGCTGTATTTGGAGCTGGATAGAGAAAACAATCACTTAATCAATCCTGGAGTGAGTCTCAGATTATGTATATATTGTAGGCCCTTCCTCTGAAAGGTGTTTTTAAGGCAGTTCAACACCACTTTCTGTGCTAGATAAATTGTGGTAAGTCATTCCTTTTCTCTTACCTCCTCCCTCCATTCAAAATAGCACTGATGCAGATATCTGTTTTCAGGATCATAATTACGGAGCCCCTCCTCCTCCGACCCCTCCTGCTTCTCCCCCTGTCCAGACCATCATTCCTCGTGCAGAATTGAATGGCCTACACTCTCATGACGAGGAGAATTCTGGTGACACAGAAAGCTCTTCAGAGGCAGAGTCTATTCCCAGCTGGTGTCACTGCAGCCTCTCCCAAGATGGTTTCCTCATCAAATGTGAGAAGTGCAGGTGAGATCCTTCTCTGTATAGAGCTCCATCAGTGGAAATGGCCAGGGATTTAAAAGAAGTTCATTAATTGCATTCTCTTAAGCTTCCATTGGCTCAGTCTTCACTAGATCCTGCAGTTTCATACAATCAGCTATGTTATTTAAATGTCAGAATGTCTAGGTGTTGTTTGAATCAGTTGAATACAGTTGATTAAGCAGATTCAGAGCATCAGGTACGAATTTTTGAAACTGCCTCATCATAGTGTAATTTTAGTTCCAGCTGAAATAGCTCCACTGAAGTGAATTGGTACTCAGTGCTAATGTACATCCAATTGATTTCCATGGGTCCACACTGTCAGGTTAAAAGGTAGAACTTGACCCTGAGAGCCTGCAGAAATCTGTGGATAAGTCTCACAGCAAAGATTAATCTTCTAAGGAAGAATTGTTATGTGTGTGAAACCCAGATAATTTATTTGCTACTTTAAAAAGTCTTCTGAGTAGCCTCATCTATATTTCATCCCAATTCTAGACAGAACCATTTCCTAGTGCAGTGTGAAATAGTAAAAATAAAGAAAAGATGGAATCTTATCGGAAATGGACAGTCTCTGGTTACAGTGTGACTGGACTATAAAGCTTTTCTCAAGCTTTCCAGATCTTCACTGGACTGCATAATATTTTAATAACACTGTTTTCACAACCTCTAGGCTTATCTGTGTAATTAAACATGCTAGGAATGTGGTTTTTTTCTAAAAGCGAAAAATGGGACTCTTGGAGCATATATATGTTAAGCTGGTTGCAAAATCTGTTACTTGTTTAAGAAATAGCACCAGATAGCAGTATATTATATTCTTTTTTTCTTTTTGGGTCCCTTAAAAATCAGATCACCTAGTACTCCATCAAAAAACCCTTAGGCATGACAGCCCAGTGTTATTTGAACCAGTGTGGTTTTTACTAGTACCAACTTCAGACTTCTGCCATCCTTTTGCAGGGGAATCGGCAGGGGAAAAGTAATCAGACTCCGTCGGCGGAAACAAGACAACGTATCAGGTATGTTCAGAACAGCCTACTGCCACCAAACTCCTGAGATTTATGAATGAACAGTTATATTTGTGCAGAGTTAGTCTTTGTTATACCTCATTGCTTTTAATGTCTCATTCCATCATTTATTTATTTTATTTTATTTTATTTATATCCCGCCTGTCTGGTCGGTTAAGACCACTCTAAGTTGGTTTCTTCTATCTATCTATCTATCTATCTATCTATCTATCTATCTATCTATCTATCTATCTATCTATCTATCTATCTATCTA